TATTCTTGTCATCTACCCTGAACATTAAAAGGGGGAAAATGTCCAATTATGAGTTGATACACTCATCAGTGAATTAAAAAATAACCCAATAAACACATACACCACTATTAGGATTATTACTTTACGCCTAAAAAAGTTAATAATAATATAAAATACAAAAAGGGGAAAAGAATGAAAATGCAGCAAAGCAACTTTCTTTTCTTTTTTTTTTATAACCACTTACATAAAAAAAACAAACAAGCAAACAAACAACGAAAACGATAAAAATCAACAAAACAAACCATGAAAAAAAACACGATTGAAGCATCAATCTCTCATAAAAATTATTTTTAAAAAAAAAATCATTTTTATGTGTTCAATGTTCGTGATTTTTCTCTTCTAGAAATGTAGTTAGTTTCTAAGATAGCTGCTAACTGAAACATTTACTACTAGTTATTGATGTATTATTAAAGTATTACCATTATTATTATTACTATTACTATTATTACTATTATTATTATTACTATTACTATTATTACTATTATTATTATTACTATTACTATTATTACTATTATTATTATTACTATTATCGTTACTATTACTATTATTATTAGTAGTAGTATTATTACTGGTATCATTTTCATTTGTGTAAAAGGTTTGATTGAGTTTTTTTTTTCTTTAAAACAATAAAATTTTTTGCACAACTCTAAACTAACTATCATTTGATTAATCATTATTATTATTACCATTACTATAGATAGATGGGGTATGTATTTTGATGTTGAAGTTATGCATTGAATATTATAAGAATATACTAGATGATAGGTTAAAAAGAATCTTAATCATTCATTAAAAAAAATATAATAATAATAATAATAATAATTTCATATAAGGGGGTTTTCTGTGGAGATTTTAAGTAATTTTTTTCACATATATAGTTATCATATGCTCACTAGTGACTGACTCCATGAGGTAATTCCTGGAGTTCTAGTGACAAGAAGTAACCAGTGGGATTCAACCAGGTCTGTTGGGAGATAGGAACTCACTGAAGACATGTGTGAATGGTTGCTCGATTTCGTGGATCGGTTGAAGTTAGACACTAACACCGTTGAATGCCGAGTCAGTGGTCTATCGGTCAAGTGCTCTGGCGCGAGACTGATAGGTCCTGGGTTGAAATCTCGCGAGGCTGGATCATGTATGAGCACTGCTGAGGTGTCCCACAAAAGGACGAAATGGCCGTCCAGTGCTTCCAGGTTTTCTACGGTGGTCTAGCTTCAACTGACTCATGATTTCAACTATGTATAAAAAATTTCATATAATGTTAAATATGTGAATAAGATATTCAATGTTGAATATGACAGTTGTCTTATTACAGAAGTATATTATCAAGACTGGTGGTTTATTATCAAGAATAGAAATCAGTCGAAGAGTTATTGATCAAATCTATAGTACTGTACTGATGATTCATTGTACTTTTGAAATTCATCACAAAGTGTACAATCAAGAATTAACTATGAGACTGAGAATTGAGAACTTTAAATCCTACTACAAGTATGATTATATTATGTCAATGAGTTACAATTAACTATTTTACTCCAGATTTATTAATTTCACATATACAAAAACATTAAAATTAATCTTTAATGCTCAGTTGATTAATGTTATTTGCTAACATGGTCTAGTACTCCAGTTGTTCTTTAGCTGACTGTTGTCCTTTCTTATTGTTGATCAAAATTATCGTCGGATTGTTCCAAAACGTCCATTAGAGAAAAACCTTTTACGAAAACGTCACATGCAGTAAAGTAAATTAGTAATATTTTAATAGTTCATTTTTAAATAGGTGTTCATTTGATATTTGTTATTTAGGTTGAAAATAAAATAGAATGATACTAAGTGACTTGATTTCAAGGTTTATAAATATAAATCAAACTAATGGGAAGCCCATGCTATTCCACGAGGAGTAACAGGAGTACGTAAGTAAATATAAGTCAAAAGAAGAATTGTAAGTAGATTTTTTAATTTAAGTGTATATTTCATTTTCAAATTAATACACTACTAAAGGAAGAATAATGGTTAGTAGTCTTTGTCCCCCATATATACTCAACTGACTATTTTGTGCACACTATAAGGTCTTTTACCGTGTAAAGGCATAATATGACATATTCAAATCTACGTGCTTGTTAAAAACTCTTAATACTAATTATTAAGAAATTTATTGATATACTGCTTGGATCCCACCTCGCGAGATTCGAACCCAGGACCTATCAGTCTCGCGCGCAAGCGCTTAACCACTAGACCACTGAGCCGGCATCCAACGGTGTTAATGAGGAGTCCCACAATAGGACAAAACGGCCATCCAGTGCTTCCAGGTTTTCCATGGTGGTCTAGCTTCAACTGACTCATGAATTCAACTACATAAAGTTACTAAAATCTCCACAAAACCCCCTTCTGATACTATTTAGATGTTTAAAATCTCGTTAATGGTTAAAGTGTCAATGTCCTTAAATTTAAGTAACTCTATCAATCATACTTCTTGAATTGATTTATAGTAAATGCTTTTCTGATTATTTTCGTCCTATGTAATGAAGATCATCGTCCATTTCATTGGTCATTATCATATAACTCGAGAAGCCTGATCAATATGAATAGAATCAAATTTGTTTGAAGGATCTTGGAAATAGCCAAATTAATTTGCAGTATCAGTTCAAGAAGTTAATATTCATGGTTTGAACTGTGTAAGAAAGTGAGGACATAGCAATTTAAGTCTGCTTAATTATCGTAGTCTATGATTGAAGACAATTTGGATGACATAACTTGAAATTAGTTCTATGGGCTTAGCTGATTTTTTTCTAAATTTTGAGTTCACTTTATATTGTTCATTTAACTAATTTGTTACATTGTCAGATGAAAAGACTATTGGTGACTATTCTTGTTTTTCACTTTATTCATTTCATCACTCTGATATCGCATGATGTGGTAAATTGAACTGACATGCATTCCTATCCAGTTATACATTGATTATCACTGACTGATTACCATAAATGATAATAGATTTCATTAACATTCAACAGTGTAAATCGAAAAACGCTTGATTTATTGCTAATATCCAACAAATTTAGTTTTTTTTTTGTTTCTCTTTTTTCTTTGGGACTAAATGACTAAAAATTTGTTAGAATATAAAAGCCTATTCTCAACATTTTTCTACGATTAGGATAAAGCAATGTATTTTATATCTAATAATCTGTGGTCATCCCATGGTCTTCCAGGTTACGTAATTTCTCGGTGAAGTTTTTTTAAATGAATTTATTAACGCAATTTGTCTGGACAAATAATTGTAACTTTACGTTTGTTGATCACAGAATGGTAACTGATGTTATATACATTTGATCAAATACTGGCTGAGTCTATTCAGCTAACACTGAAACCTAGTAGGCATGATTTTTGGCAACTTCGACTATTGGACATATTGTAAATTCATCGGTAGAATACGACTAGTGCTAGGAACTAGACAGATAAGATTTTGGTCTTCAATTCTTAATCAATCAACGTAAATACCTCAGTCCTATAAAAGGTCAGTTTTGGCCCAAGCAGCTTAATGACAACATCTCATACTGTCGGTCCGGGAGACGCTAGTTTGGGTTTCACAGGGAGTAACAGTTCCTGCAAGGTAGCTGGTACACCTAATTGATAAGTGCCGACTAGCCCGAAACTTAGGTCTACGGTTTCCTATTGACTGGCTTCAGTCATATACTTATGGTCTATGTTGCGCTTACTATTCTTGTCATTGTAACCAACCGTTCTCAGAATTTAGTTTTATACTTTGTTCTTATATATTTCGAAAGTAACCCTCACTATGAACTCAGAAACTGTAGGTAACTTAAGACGACTGGCTTTCTCTTTAACTGAAATTTTGAATTTCGGCCTATTCATTGACGATTAGGGAAAGAATAACATCAAGGAGCGTAAGCTTTCAAGTCCAGTATGATAGCGTTCATTCACTAATTGATCAAACCTAGAAATCATCAAATGTAACTTCATGCAATTTTAAAAAAGCTGCAACCATAAATCAATACCAGTGATGGGTAACAAATTTTCTCCAACGTTGAGTTCGTAGTTTCTCCTTAAAAATTTCAGGAAATTAGTCTTGAAGCTATATGCTATTGATATCAGATTAGGGTTGCAATACATCCCAAATTAACTGAAAGGTAAAACAAAATGGAGATTTTTGGAGATTGTAGTAATTTTAACTGTTAAATTCACGAGTCAATCTAAGCTATACCATCATGAAAAACCTGGAAACACTGGACGGTCGTATAGTTCGAGTATGGGACTCTGTAGTAGTGCGCATCTACGATCCCACACACGAAACTCGAATCCAGGACATTCGGTACCGCGCGTGAGCACTTAATCTCTGGACCACTGAGCTGTATCCAACGGTGTTAATGTCTGACTTCAATCGACCTATGATCCTGCGCAACCCTTCAATATTATTTCAATGAGGGGTTAGTTTTTTGCTCCTCATGAACTCGAAGGATTTGGATCCTATTTCGTATAAGGTATTGGTTACACATTACTGAGAAGTCTACAATTCCATCGAAACCACTACCTTATGGGTACTAAGTTTCCAATAAATCTCTAATTAATGTTAACCAATTATAAAAATTATTATCAAATACTTACATTTCCCATTTCATGGTTATTCTTTCCTCCTTAGAAATAAACCAATCACATATGAATATAATTTTTGTTATTTCCCTTTTTGACGTGGGTTTGTTATCTGAGTTGTTATTTTCCTATTTGATAAAAGTTCTATCAATTTTCCTTATTCTTCTAATCATCATTCACTACTTTAAACAAGTGCGTTTTCTATTTTTGTAACCCTAATATTTTCAGAATTAGAGTTTTAGAGAAAGACCAAACTAAAAACTTTTATTCATTGGTTAATCGACTCATTTATGATTTCTTTACAGAATTCCTATAAGAGAGAAAAATCTAAGGGGGAAGAAAATAGGAAAGGAAAGAAGGCAGGCAGGATGATAGACAAAGGTAAGAATATCAAAATAGATTATACGGTTCTTCTTATATAGAAAACAAACAATTCACTATATATCTATATTTGAACATCTTGTTTACTTATCCGTTGTATTGATAAGTGAACACACTACTTTAGTTTGATATGGTATATACCAACACAAATTTAACAATATTGATGCTTATATATTGACAAATAACCATGTACATCTATAAATACACCCAAAGGGATAAAGTACGAATCAAGGCGATACACCTTTGTTAATTATCATAAAGATGTACTAATCAAAAACAAACAAGTGGTATTTTTCATAAACTGAGTTTAATATCTAACGAATTTACATAACAATAATTCAGATTGATTAAGATTAAAGAATAAAACTTAACTCATTTATAAAATCAGATAACATGTTAACTATTCCACGTGAATCTAATTTATTTAAATACACTGATGATTATTATCATAATCCTCATAGTAACTCTTTAATTAATTACAATAGTAATCAACAGATCAATCAATCAACTAATGCTTTTTTAAATGATCAACTAGACATTGAACATAAATCCATTGAAGGTGTTAAACATGAACATTTGAATAAAAACATCATTAACAATATAACAACAACAACAACAACAACAACTGATAACGTAGATGTTTCTAAAGACAGTCAAAATTTCAATTCACCGACTTACAGTCAAAATTGTTTAACCCCAGTAGTACCTACTATAAAACTAATTAGTTTAGATCAAAATCATCAACATCATTCTGATGTTCAATCGAATCAGTCAGTAATTGAAGATACTTCCTCTATTATTGCTTTATCATCATTAGATAAATCAGTGTCGAATTCCACTTCATTATCATCTTCTTTATCATCATCACACATTGATTATAGACCTTCTAATAGTAATATTAATGAAACACTTTTTCATAAATGTAAATTCTCAAACAGTATTCATAATACTAATACTACTACTAATAATAATAGATATCCATTGTATAGTTTACCATTTGCAATGGATTATTGTTCAAATAAACTTGTTCAACAACATGATGAAAGGAATAGAAGTTTTACTCCAGATAAAATGTTACCAAATCCCACTACTACGAATGAGTATCCAAAAATTAAACAATCCAATGATGGTAAGTATTTGATGCTTAGTCTTTCTGTAATTTAAAACATTATAATTATTAGAAGGGAGTTCACTGAATGGATAAATAAACTAATTTCTATGGCTTTTGAATTAACATTATCAGCTTAAGTAATTGATCTCCCGTTACTGGGCTATAAGAGCTAATATCATCGAAGCTAATTTTGTTTAAATAACACTAGTATAGTAATCTAAGTAATTGTCTTCAAGTCATCAGCAATATTTTTCTGTATACTATTAAATGTTAGTTATTAACATCGTTATATAGTTGAATCCAGTCAGAAGAAAACCGCAACGCTAGATCACCTTCTGGTTGATACTCTTATCAACCAGGGGCAAGGTGTATTTGTAATCTTCAAGAAACTATTGTTCCTCAGAGATCCATATCATTTCATATCATAGTTAGATAACATAAACATTGAACCATTTGACATTTTCCTTAATTCTGCTTCAGTGAAGTTAACTCAGCCTCATAACTACAGTGGCTAGCACAATGTCGAAATCAAGAGATTGCACCAAACTGTCTTAATTCAATAGTTATCCATCGTAACTTATTAAATGAAGTAATGTATGATTCTTCTCATATTTATGAATTGAATTAGTCAAAGATTTATACTCAATAATATTGTTAATAAAGTAAAAAGCATTCTTGAATTTAGTGCCACGAATTTTATGCAGTGCAATACGGCGATTAATGATTATTGTTTAATTAGTAACCATTAACACCTAGTATTCTACTTTGTTGTTTTTATGAACATTGGAAAATACATTTGAGTTAAATATTCAATGGAAAAGATATTCTAACATGTATAATATTATTGATAATTAAAAAAAACATTCCATTTAACAAGCAAAGATGGCTAGCAGTGGAATCCAGGACGCGCGGTTCATCCTGTTTAGAACTCGTCAACTGGATGTAGTTGCATCTCGGAATTGATGTTCACTGTGAGACTCAAACCCAGTACCGTTCACTTCGGACGCCATCGCGATGCCCATTTAGCTGCTGACTCCTGATAGCATTACAATTGCATACATTTTCAAATGTTAAGTATAGTTTACATCGATATTTGGCATATCGCAATGATTGAAAATTATGATTGTTCATTTCTAGTCGTAACTACTTTAAAAGACAAATCTTGTTAAGAAAGATTTATTAGAAAAACCAAAGAATCTTACTGTAAAATCCACTTCAGTTCAATTATATGCTGATTAATTTCAATGATTATTATTTACAAAATTTATCAATTCAATCGTGGACGCACACTGCTGAGGAGTCCCACAATAGGACGAAACGGCCGTCCTGTGCTTCCAGGTTTTCCCTGGTGGTATAGCTTCAATTGACTCATGACTTCAACTATGTATTAAAAAAATCAGTAAAAAATTTCCACAAACAACACCCTCAATAGTTATCATTTAAGTTCAAAACAACAATGAATTAATTATTATAATGAAATACATTGAAACTCATTAAATTAACTTCAAACAGAATGAAACAATACAAATGGTAATATAAAGAAACAGTGAAGATTTAGCACCCTTAACAATGGTAAATTCAATTTATACACTATTTCTTCAATTCCCTTGGTTTAAAAGAAAAAAACAAACAAAAAAAATGTCATAGATACTCACAAAAACATGTTTGTAAGTCAATTTGCTAGAGTTCATTTAGATGTTGGCTGTGAAAGAGGAAGATTCTGTTAAATATTACAATATATATATATATATATACCATCAAACTAACTGATAATTTCACACATTTGTTAAACAAAATGAATTATTCTTCCCACTTTAAAGGTTTCTTATTAGTCTGAAGAAGCAGACTAAAAGAAGAAGAAACCTGAAATAGGCCTATTTTAATGAATGAAGTAAAATAGTGAGATGATGGAGACGATTTGTAGCTCAGGTGAATGATTTTGATGAGGTTTTATTCTCTGAGCTGAATGGTTTGGTCGTGGAGCTCTTATCATCCTTCTGAACAACATCATCAACACAAACCCAAAGTCGTTCAAATGGACGATGAAAGCTCCACGACCAAACCATCCAGCTTAGAGAACAATACTCCATCAGAAGTAAAACAGTGAATGAAATGCCGAAATTGACATGTATTTTAAGATATTTATGTATGGATAATCTAACTATTTAAGTACGATAGATGGAATGATTAATAATAATTATCATACTAATAGTATCTGCATTTAATAGCCATTGAATAATCTTGTCTTATTTTGCAACACGTCAGTATACAACTTTCGTTTCATAGAACTTCACTGAAAGTAAAGATTAATATCTCTTATATGGACAGATATGTAGTTTAATATGGTCATTCATTTAAACTTGTAACTAGATAAATAATATAAAATGCCGGAACAAAAAATTACAATAAATTTTTTTAGACAGACCGGGGATTCAAGATATGGAAGGTTGTTATGTCTTATCAGTTCTATTTTCAACACAATGAAATGAATAACTCATTTTATTGGAGAGTATGAGAGATTTCTAGAATAGTTTACAGTTTCTAATAGGATCTATTGTTCAGTTGATATAACTTTTTAGTTAGATTGTAATTACCCCCTTCTTCCACTTTCTTTCTTTTTTTTCCTTATAACAGTATTAACCACAATAAATTCTGTATATGATGATCAAGTACTTTATAGACAATCTTCATTAATAAATCATCAACCTCATGTTCAATTTGTTGATGATTACCAAAATTTAGGATCAAAAACAAATGAGTTTAACACAAGGCATTCAAATTCCGATCAACAAAATCATTCTTACAGTAATTACTATTTCCATAATCAGAATAATAATAATAATAATGATCATAATAATGAATTGGATAAAAAAGAATTACAAATTGTAAGAAATAAAAAATCCGATTTTATTTTAATACGTCAACGTAATCGACGTAAACCGCGTATTTTATTTTCACAAACACAAATTTATGAATTAGAACGTCGATTTAAACAACAACGTTATTTATCCTCTCAAGAACGTGAACAAATGGCAAATAATTTGAAAATGTCAGCACAACAAGTAAGATTTCTTTTATTTATTTATTTTTAGTATTTTCTTCTTATATATGACATGTCAATATCAGTTTCCAGATTTGAACCTCTTGATGCATTTATTATGTCCTGGGAAGTTATACACAATTACAAAAAGGTGTCACACGATGTTGAATACATGTTTTATGCGTAAAGCCAATCAATTTAACGTTTAAAATGTGACAAGATTCAAGTAGATTTATTCTCTAAGCGTTAACTTCTAGCTGAAATAATACAGAAAGCGTAAGACATCTTAAAATCACTGATCTGTTAGCAAAAGCCCTAATAAAAACAGGTTTTAAAATAATACTTAGTTGCATTAACGGATGAGAATAATTAACGAATATCATTTAGGGAACTCCGCTTGAAATACTTTTAAGGTTATTGTCAGTGCGAAGCCTGAGGAAAGAAGCAGCGTTGGGTATGGGGTTGAAAACTCCATCCCGTTAAAAATATCATTGCTAAAATAAGCTAACCATCACTTAGACAATTTAAATGTAAGCCCCAAGTCTATTGAAGCTGATAATCTAGGGCTAAAGTAATTCAGATTGATGAATGATACATTGATCACAAGATCAAGGGGATCCTATAAACTTTCAGAAATATTTACCTAGTTGATACCAAAATGTGTGATATTGAGGAGTAGGGTATTTTTACTTTACATGATACTTTAGGGTGGGGGCGTCGTTGGTCTCCAAAGCAAAGAACGAGTATACTTCACAACATTCCGTCTTGTTCTACTCTATGACTGTGAAATATGACTTTAAAGAAAAGTTTATTAAAAGGTTACTAGTATTTGGTCATAGAGTTCTTCTAAGCATTACTCATCTACTTCAGGACTACCGAGTGGATAAAACTGTGGTCAGAGATGGCAAATTAGTTGGCAAGGTAGTCAACTTTTGCCAATTCAGGTGGGTGGGACATGTATCACATGTTCTGAATCACCAACTTCTTCGACGGACGGTGACTGTTGGTGTGGGAGTAGGTCGAAAGAATACAAGGGACGTAGAAATCAGAAAGTGGCATCAGTCCATAAAGTTATTAACTGTTAGAATGAACCAAGTAGGTAGGCACAGACTACATTTTTGACATCTGCGATATAACTGTGGTCAGTAGTCTCTAACATGTGACATGTTTCCGAATAGGTCAATGGTTCAAATGGATTCAATTTTTATCTCCCTCTCGATCTTCAGTTCTAATGTTTCTCCAGAATAAGTCTTTTCATTCCTTTTTGAACTGTGTTTTCAGTGTTTACTCTTCTTTTCGATCATAATTACTATAATTATTTTGATTTCTCTACTACTCACCATGTTCATTTAATCTCTCTATACTTATGTAGTATGACAATTTAAGTCGGTGAGTATTTATTCCGGGCCCTACACAAATTCTCTTTTCATTCAAATAATAGTTTATAGAAGTAAAGATACGTTAAATCAGTTACGACTGTGTATCCTTTCAATCATTCATGGACTAAGTATAAATCTGTCATGTTTTTCTTTTCAATGTAACCCATAAGAATGGTTAATTGTTAAACCTATCTATATTTGTTTTGTAGTATCAAAGAACTTGTTATATGAATGTAGGGTGGTGGTTGGAGTTAATCGGGGTCGAATCTGCCAGGGAGAATCAGTCCCCTCAAGATTACGTACACATCTCGCTGATGAGTGCCAAACAACACGAAGCTTAATTCTGAGGTTTCTGTAGACTACCTCCAAACACCACCTCACATCTCAACACAATGCAAGTGATGTCAAGCCACCTAGACTATTGGCCACATTGTAACATGATCGATAGAGTCCGATCAGTACTAAGAAGGACTGGACATACATGACACTGATCATTGCTGCGACCAATCAATAGTTATACGAATATTTTTGTATTTTAACGTGGTGTATTTCTTAATCGTCTCTCACAGAGACTAGAATGCAACACACATTAACTGCTAACGTAGATTGTTTATTGTGTTGTGATTGCCTCTAGATAGTAAAGTTTCTCCATAATGGAAGTGAAATAGATGACACATATGGTAGTAGATTTTCATTGTGCTTTATTCTGAAGTGTCTCAAGTTATATATTTGAACCGCTGAATTTTAATTTACTTTCCAAAGGTATCTTAAAACTTGGGCTTGATCGAAATCAAGTTCAATATCGTATAGTCTAGCAGACAAAGCACAACTGAAGAGTCCTAGGTCGGGACAAAGCAGTTGATGTTCAATCATTAATAAAAACCGACTTGAAGATGATCAACCATCATAACTTTTTTTGCGTTCAACATTGTCTTAATAAAGCAGTTTCTGAATTTAGTAATTATTAGATGAGGATTATAAATTTATTCCTCTATTGACATTTATCAGTCAAGACCCATTAGAATACTTTATGATCTACATATATCAAATTGCATAATGACAATAATATTAATGATAATAACAGTTGTTTTGTATGTGATCAGTTTTTCATTGAAAAATAAAAAGACATTTCATATTTTCTTTCCCTTAACACTTGACCTAATAATCAAACCTAACTTAACAAAAATGAAACTTAATGTAAGTAGTATGATTGATCATGCTGTGTGTTGTGTGTGTGTGTGTGCATATATATAGATATATATGAATGAATGACCCTAGACACAAGTTTATAATTACCGTTTTTATATCATTCAGTCTATGCTTGTATAATCAGGCCTAGTTATTTTCATGTCTATTCAATTCTTCTTGTTGATCTCATTTCTTGACCCAGTTCATTATTTGAAATTATGATAGAAAATTGTTTTCGGTCTATTAATTCATCCATTTATTATTAATTAAAAGACATAAAATGGTAAAACCGAATTATACCCAATACTTCTCTATCCCCAATTGTGCAATTTTCACTATTATTAATGTGATAAAGACATACATACTTACCCACACACACACACACACGTAGTTGAAGTGTGCTTTTATGGAATAAAATAATGTAAAGTAGTACAATACAAGTTGATCATGTCATAAAGATTTAACAACAGCTGCATTGAAAGGATTCTACTATTCTATTAGAAAAGGAAGAAACTTGTTCCAATGACGTAATAACTAATTCTATACATAAAATGTTTGTCATGTTAATAAAACTGAAAACTTGTCATTTAGTAAAATCAAATTATTTTTACTATATTTCCTTGGAAAAAGTTTGGACCAGATTACCAAGCGAAACGTTGGATTTACTTTAAAATTCATTCGCTGAGATTTTACAAATATATTCTTCCTTTATTTCCCTTAGCTAATGAGTGATCATTAAATTGGGGTCCAATGTTTTATATGTTGAACTTCATCCAAAACACATTGTGAATTACTCCCCCCTGCATGGAACAATGATAGAATTTGAGATGAAATAATGGGTTTAGAGTTTAAACCATCGTTTTAATGCTAAATATTCCCCTAGAAATTTTTAAACAAGAGTATTTTTATAGTTGAAGTCATGAGTCAATTGAAGCTAGACCACCAGGGAAAACCTGGAAGCACTGGACGGCCGTTTCGTTCTATTGTGGGACTCCTCAGCAGTATTTTGAGACATTAAATGGGAATAATATATTTGTCAAATCTCAGAGAATAAATCTGACGTAAATCCAACGTTTCGCCTGGCAATCTGGTCTATGCTTTTTCAAGGAAATATGATCAAATTACAAAAAAGATACGTCAAATAAGAAAATTTGAACAAATGTTTAAACATCCATCCAAATCCAATAATGACGCGATTAGAAAGAAATCTAAAGAAAAGATATATTTCCTTGAAAAAGTTTGGACCAGATTGTCAGGCGAAACGTTGGATTTACTTTAAAATTCATTCGCTGAGATTTTACAAGCATATTCTTCCTATTTTAATGTCTTACATCAACTCGATGCCCAAATACTGTGGAACTATTCGCTTTAATTTAGAAGGAAGTTCTTATACAAATTATTATTTGTCTTCTATCCAAACATTCATTTTTTTTAATGAGTCCCAATGAAGTTTTCATGCAGATAATTTATTGACTAAATTAAAATGGTATACAATTTATCATTTTTCTACAAAATGCTTTATATATAGTAGCTTATATCATTATAGATTTATTGATGTGTATTCTATGAATATATCTAAATAGAAAATAATATCTAACCCCTGTATCTTTAAATTTTATAATAAACATAATACAACAGTTTTAATCACGATAAGAAAACAATAAATGTTGATTTGGTGCTTCAAGTTGTCACTAAGTTGATTGCCCCCAAATGCCCTGGTACGGCCAAGAGTGGGGAGAGTTCGCTCCCCCTCTCGAAATGCTCTCACATGACACTCTTATATAGCCTCTGTCAGAGAAGTCCTACTCACTGCCTTCTCACAGTGGCATTACTGTTGTTTACGAAATTGAGAGGACAAAAAATGAATATCCGGCACTTTACCCGGGTTGATGGATACGGAAATTTCACCTAGGGTAGTTGGAAAACCCTGATTCCAAACAAATGGTGCACATGGTCTTCAGTATCCTGAGGGAACAAATGACGTATGAATCAATCGTCGGTCACCGGTTACCATGGGACTGCATCTCCTCACGATGCTCCACTGCCTTATGGATCAGAACTTTGGGTGAAAGGATCCTGGTGTGGCCCCCTAGGAAAACCACCTGCTTCGGTCTGGGTACCCGGGCAGTATCATAGCCTTCACACAATTGAATGAAATGACATTTTTTCGTGTGGCGCATATGTATCTGGTGTCTCTTTGTATCAATATTTATGTGCTTAAATAAATAAATAAATAAACTAAGTTGATTGTCTGTAGAATTTTTAATGTTCACTGAGTATATTGTTTATAAAGAGTAAATGTTATGAATTATAGTGTGACTAACATTAAACTGTTCATTTTAATACCTCGATTTCATATTATCTAAATCTTTCATCCAGTATATCAGGTTGCACTACATTGGATATTTCAATTGATTCATGATCTCAACTATTAAAATTACTATAATATCCACTA